ATAATTAACTGATTAAGCAGAGTTCCTATTTAAACTGCATTATCTTCTATATTAATCTTATACATTTATATAAAGTACCCTGTAAATGATTCATGCAAGTAAAATGCATATCCTACCACTCCCAAATGTTTTCTGAGACACTACCCTTTTGGCTATAAAAATATCAATGGTCATTTCTAAAAGCTAATTTGAAAAGGTTAAATAGTGAATATTGCTGTCATATCTGAGCTAGAGATGCCCAATCCTCACTTTCCAGTCTCAAAAGTGTTTGCCCTACCTTGTGGGTAATGAATTGTTCCCCCAATTTTCAAACCATTTTCCCCACAGATGAAACATTACTAGCCTCTGATGATTCTACTTCTATTTTCATGGCAGATGTTCAGGTGAACTACAGTCTGTGATTCCACCAGTCCAGACATTCACAACTAGGACCCATCATGCCATGTACACTAAGTTGTCAGTTATGTGCCATGCCTGATACATGCTTAGGTGATCATGTATCTTTCGATACATGACTGACGAGGCAGATTTTTTTCCCCACAGTAGGTTGCCATTTCTTTCAGCAGTAGACCAGTTGCCACCCAAAGCAATAGAACCTGGTCTTTCCTGATATTTACCCATAATGGCGAGGAGAGAGAGAGGGAGGAGGAGGAGGAGAAGAAGAGGATTCATACCATTCTCAAGGGTATTATCACAAACTCATCCTTATTCTTTTCATATTCCATTTGTCAGAAGGAAGTTCGACAGCTTCTTCCCCTAGAACTAGTGCAATCAGAAATGAACTCCTGAAGGGATACTTTCTCCATCACTATAATTTTAACCTCTTTGTGTCTAGGGTTAACCATTATCTATCCTCATAATATGCAACACTTACTCCTTCCCTATATGCTTTTACAACATCCCAAATCAGTAAATCATGACCTTGCATTGAGTGAACAAAAATATATATATATATATATATATATATATATATATATATATATATATATATATATATATATATAAAACACAATATTTATATCAATGAATGAATCAAGCAAAACCCAGTCATACAGTTGAATACAAGATAGAGTTTTGTGAATTTTGTAGATGTGTATTTTCAATAAGATCTACAGTGAGATTTTTTTGGCATTGATTCTCAGATAAAGCGAAATTGAATCAAGCATCAACCAACTATTCAGTCAACATTTTTATAAACCCAAAAGGTAGAGAGACTTTCTTTTTTAATGACCATAGAAAAGAATCAGGTAAGCAGGAAAGAACACTGAAAAACATTCAAATATAAATGAAAATAGTTTTTGCATTTTTTGTCAAAGTGTCATCTTCAAAATATCATTTTGTAAAATAAAGTCATAGAACTTAAGAAAAGCAAAAGTCAGTCAATGTCCTTTTCTAAAGAAAGTATACTGAAACTATTATAGCTGTTGCCAAATACAAGTAATGTTCAGGTTAATTAATTTTAAGATCTCAAGATCATAGTTATTACAAAATATCACAGTTCAATCCACCTTAGAAACAGTTCCTACAAGTCATGTATTTCGTAAGTACAGTATAGCAGAACAAAGACAGGTTTCCATTATAGGAAATGTTTAATTAAAATAACACTAATATTCCTAATTTTTAGGAATTATCTAGATAACAGAATTTGCACCTTGTGTTTTTTTTCCTGATCAATTCCTTGAAACTCATTAGCTTCAACATAACACCTTTGTTAATCATGTTAAGTCAATGAAAAACATAATTTACCTACTTGATTTATTTGTATATTCAGATTACTTCTTTTTTTTCATATGGAAATCCTTTGTCTGTTACACTGATTACACACTGAGAAGAAATAAAGTTGCAACACCTTGAAGGATCATACAGATTTTAGCCGATATACATTTTGTGGATGCAAGAGAGTAATAGACATTTAAATAAAATTTCAAAGTTTTGAGTTTTAGTAACATTATTACACTGTCTTTGCCAGAGTTCTAGATGGTAAAGCATGTTACAACATGGCCAACTGTGGCAAAAGGATTCAGTGCATACACATGTCATGAAGATGAACAGGAACTCTTTTTGTTTAATTAGAGTCATTTGGGAGGAGGTTACATTGTGTACCTTTGAGATTGATTAAAAAAAAAATCATCGCTTATCAATCCTTTTAAAGCTGAAAACATTCCAGATAAGAATCTTTCTTTGTGTTTAATTGAATATTGCATTAACAATGTACAAAAAAAAAAAATGATTTTTTTTCAAGATACGTCATACTATTTAACCCACATTTGGGGGGGATGAGATGGAGTTATCTCCTTTGCAAGAGTATTTGCTTGTAAGTGAAAAGTAGGATGTTCATTCTAGATGAAGAATGGCTGCTCAAGTTGAATCTGAAGAGTTGGCAGCAGTTTGATGCTGAAAATAATGGTCAAATGAAACATTTCTACATCTGTAGACTAGGTTCTGGATGACCACATGGTACAGATGGTCGCAAAGATCAATGCATTTTTAGAGTAGCAATGTTAGACTGCATGGGTTCACAGCACAGATCAGGGCAAATATAGCCCCAGAAGTATTCACACAAACCACTGCAAATAGTTTATCTGCTATGAATGTGCATGCTAATACCCAAACCACCGGTTACACAATGGCACCATCATGCAGTGATGTCACAAGAGGATCACATGCTCCTGTGTTCAGGGATCAGAGCAGTTTCTACATTCATGCAAATGATGGTCATCTCCATGTCTGAAAGTTCTCAGGAGTAACATCTTCCAAAGTTTATTTGCCTATAGCACAAAGACAAACCCTGGTATAATGGTGCAAAATGTCCTTAGCTACAACTCTTGCTTGTCTTTGGTGATTTTTTTTTTAGAAAATATTGAACAGTACCATGTACATGTAGAATATTGCTAATCTGTTCTGTTGCTATTCCTACATTAGAAACATCATGTACTGTTCCAGCTGTTCCCACTCACATGATGCTTAACATGCTCTACAAGATGTTCAACAACTTCCATGGCTGGCAGGATCAACTGGAGCAGGCTTGGATTAACCATTAGACAAACTAAACATGTGCTTAGGTCACCAAGTGGCAATGGAGCACTAGAAAAATTTGAGTAGGGTATTATGGGACTAGTCAATATACCAGCAGCCAGTAGAAGGTCTGGGGCACCAATGTGGGCCTGTGCGCTTAGGGCATAAACAAGTCTTAATTCAGCCCTGACCAGGACTGCTCTCTATAAGACATGATGGGATGATGTCTGACTTCTTCAGTTATCTCAACAACAACAACCCTCGCTGTAATTCATCAACAGGTGCAAGAGTCATTTTGCAGAATTATATTTGCCATCAACACGCATATGAAAATAAAGGCTTGTGCTAATACCTGAGGAAGATATACAGTGTATTAATATGAGATGCGAGTACTGTTGACACACTCCTTATGAACATGTGCATGTATTAATCTTACTTATTATAAAACGCAGATTGTATGTGTGTGTGTGTGTGTGTGTCTGTACGTTTATATATTGGATCGGATTTCCTACATTTTCAACCAATTTCAACAAAACGTCACAGGAATGCGCATTCAACAAAACTTCACTTTTTTTTTGGCATGTAGTGTTTCTTATTATCTTGCACACTTTTTTTTTTATTTTTACATTCAGAATGCTTTAAAAATTCCATTTACAAGACAATTGTTTATAATAAAATTCTATTCAATCGGTATACTCATAACGATTGAAAACAATGTTTTTGTTTGAGTTTGGGTTTGATCAATCTGTAAAAAAAAAAAAAAAAAAAAACTAATTAAGACATGCGTGTCCGTCAACCTTAAACAATAATCTTTGTCAATTTTATTTTTCAGTCTTTATGATGGTCGATACTTGATCTATCACTTAGTGTTACATCCCCGGGCAACGCCGGGCTCTACTGCTAGTCTCTATATATATATATACTACCGTTCAAAAGTTTGAGGCCACTGCTACTAATTTTTTAAATTGGCCCCAAAAATAGTTGTTTTGTACTTTAAATAAGAGAATATTATAATATATGGTTAAAAAAATTGAGACATGATTTTTTTATGAGAAATTTTATTATGACAAAAAGAATAAAAGCATTTTATGATTAAATATTACTCTCATCAAAAGATCCTTCTTTAGCCTTGATTACTGCAGCACAAATCTTTGGCATTCATTGCAAAGGTTTCTCAAAGTATAAGTTTGATAATTGATTCCATACTTTTTTAATGACTCAAGAGCTCTTTTTCAATTTTTTTTCACTCTTCTGTCAAATTCATCCCATGCTACCTATGAGGGTGGCTCCAACCTTCTGAACTATAGTGTATGATCATTTTCTGCACTCCAGCTTAACCTTGAGTAAATTGTAACAGCTTTTCTGTCAGTGTATTTACATGACTTACTCACAACAGCATAATGGATATTTATCTATAGTAATGGGATTTTAGTTATATACAAGGCTAAGTCTGTTTACAAAAATAGGGCACACAGTAAGGATTAAACTGACTTCAGCAATAATGGTTTCTTCAGCTCACTTGTTAATCAATTAATTCTTATTAACAAACTTTACATGTATAAGAATGCCCTTTATCAGTAATAGATTTGTTGATTCCCTATCAATTTCTCTTAACAAATAGAAATAAACTTAACTAACCAAGGATACACTTCTGGCCAATTTTTGCAGTTGTATCAATAAACCATATTTTACAATCAGAATTATTAAATCACTAGTTTTACTCTATATTATTATTATTATTATTATTTGCTATGTTTATCACAAGACAATTGTCAATAAATTCTTTAATGAGTGAATTGTTTTTTATGGCTTATCAACTTTTTGCAGGTTATTTAAAACCAGAAATATTTTAATATAATTAACCCATAGCTGGAGGGAGAAGAGATGGATTTATACCATTCTCAAGAGTATTTGCATGTAAGTGAATATAACTCAACCAAACTGGAATAAGAACACGGCTCTCCAATTTCACCTGTAAATCCAAGCTTACAACACCCAGTATTCCCAAGCAGTTGCCCACCAAGGTAAGGACCAGGTTCAATGATGCTTAACTTTGGTGATTGTATGAGAATCGGTGTTTCAATGTGATATGGCCATAAGCCAATAAATTCTTTAACCCTGAGAGCAAAAAAACACATCATCAAAAATAGAGAATGTTTGCCACACACACTGGGAATCGGTTTTCAGGGATTTCATCATAACCACTTTTGCCAAGAAAGCATCAACAAGTGAAGCACAATCTATAATCATTCTGCCATTCACATTTTTGCTATGTTACTTAATCAGAGTCATTTTGGTATTTTTTAGATGGAGAATTTACACTGATTCTGTTATTAGTTTTATTTCATCATTTTGTTTTTACTTTTTATCACAACCAAAGCCTTGAAAAAATTCAAAATCAAGTGGCTTATTTATTTTAACCCTAACCAATACTATAAGTATGAAATTACCAAAGACTTCATGATTGAAATGGATCTTTTGATTAAATGTTCACTTATCAAACTTACTTTGTCTGTTGCCCTGCCATTTAATTTGCCTCTAAATAATAATAATAGTCATAATAAAATTCAAATTTCAAACTTGTGGTTAATAGTACTTGTGTAAGCATTCTTATAATCACTTAAAAGATCTCTACTTAGGAAAAACTGATTTATCTAAATATTATACTTTTATCTCATTCTGCAATTGCTGAATACCTATCAAATAATTCAACATAAGCCTAAACTTTTACCAGAGATTTTTTTTTCACAGCTGTTAACAGTTTGATTTATACTGCTGATTCTCTGCTAGTATGTTTTTTATTTCCATTTTTTTTTTTTTAGTTCTATTTGTTTTGTCTTTGATTGAGCTTTGAAGAGGAGGAGCAATAACTGAGTAGCTATTTTTGTTATATCTTTTCTGTTATATTTTTCAATTCACCATTTTACAGTAATTTTTGCAGGTTATTTGCTCTTTTTTCCTTCCTACTTTTTAATATATTTGTATATATTATATTAATATAGGCTTTTAAAATGTCTGTTTTTAAAAGTTATAATTATACACTTTCTAAACCCAAGAAAGCTTGTGGGAAAGGATTTATTTTAAGTGGTTTGAAATTTACTTTTCCTCTTCTTAATTTGATACTTTGGATAGGCTCTTTGGATAACTCATTTATTCTGTCCTTTTCTATAACATAGAGCCATACCCATAACTATGAATAGCATTTGTAATATTCTATTAAATGAATGTAATGTCATGAATAAATCATCTCTTGCACTTACATAGCTTCTACTTTGATACTGGTGTTTAAAACAGGCTTCAATTTGCACATTAAAGGAAGTAAAAATATCAAAGGGAATGCCAGCCAGTACATGTATGCACACATCCACTTCCCTGTATTACCCTAAAAAGAATATGAAAATGGAAAATGTGAATTAAGTCTTATAAATACACAACTTCATGTCAGTAATAGGATATGACAATTGTTGAGTTTTTAGCACATTTAAGCTAAATATAGATATGCTATTATAATCAGTATTATTATCATCTAAGTAGATTTGGCAATTGTAAGCATTTTTGTTTTTCAAATCATACAAAAGATTGTTTAAAATTATTCTAAAATAAAATAAATCAAGACTAGTTTTGTTGTGTCTTGGAAGTTAAATAAAATTATATATATTTTGAAAGAAAGCCTAAACAAAACTTTCACCTCATCTCCAAGACAAATATGAAGCTTTTTGCATGCATGAAATAAAACTGACACAGTGAAATCATGTAAATCAGTACACATATGGACTCAGAAGTTAATTTTACCCAAGAAATAAGAGTCAAACTTTGTTTTATAAAATCATAATATAATTTTACAGAAAATCTGTTAGAATTTGTCAATATATAATAATTTACTATTACAATTAACTGATTTGTTTTTTTTGGTTTATCAACAATTTGCCAGTTATTTTAAGCCAGAAAATATTTTTACATTGTAAGAATTTTGGTGGGGGAGCTAATAATGGTTTAGTGATACTAGTCTTACCAATTAACACATAGCTGGTGGGGAAAGAGGTGGATTCATACCTTTCTCCAAAGGTATTTGCATGCAAGTGTATATAAACCCAACAGGAATTGGAACTCAGCACTCCAATTAACAATTCTCAGTCATTATTCATTACAACACAGCACTTTGTATTCTCAAGCAGTCACTTGTCAAGGTACTGACCAGCCTTGACATTGGTTCCTATATGATCACCAAAGTTAAATAGTGAATTAATTTGCAAAGTTATTAATACTTATCTACTTTTTCCCTTTTTTTTTATCTGTCAAGATATATTGGAACTTAGGTCTCCAATTAACAATTCCAAGCCATTCTCAATTACACCAGCTGCACATCCAAGCTTTCAACACCTGGTATTCGCAAGCAGTCAGCCATCTAAGTACTAACCATATTGCACATTTGATTTAGTACATATTAGAACTGTTACAATGAACAACATTTATTCAAGTGTGGAGATAAAGACAATGAAAAAATTAGACCAGCTTTCATTCTTCATGTTTATCAAACATTATTTAGCGGTGATAAAACCCTTTCCAACACAAAAAAGAAAATTGCAGTCAGATGATCATTTATAACTATTTCTTAATATTAGGATAACATTTAAAAGCTACTAAAAATTAAAAAAAAAAAAAATGAACTATGAAGTACATGCCTCTGTCAGTGCTATTGTCACTTAAAAACTAACCAATCAGGTTACAGATCTCAGATTAAGCCTTAATAAATCTTATTACAAAATCATTGCCAACATCCATGTGGTGACTTCTGTGTTTGCCTCATGACTATGTTTCCATCATCATGATGTCATTACTGCATTATTACACTGAATAAAGCTGAAAAATTCTCTCAATATTAAAATTTAAAAATACTTGGATCCACCCCAAAATTTGATCAAATGTTTCTTGCTCTAAAGTACACCATTCCACAGAATGTCTGTGAAATTCATTAAGAACTTCAAGATATATTGTGTGAACAGACAGGCAAGATGAATGAATCAATACATAATCTCTATCAAACATTATTGACAGAAGTTTTTTTTTTTTTTTTTTAATCATTTCACCTCAAGCAAGGTGATAATGCCACTAAGACACTAGGGGCTACTAGGAGTGAAAGAAAATAAGAATTTAGGAGAAAGAACTGGAAACCTAATCAAAAGATGGGTAAGAAGTGTAAACTGGGCAATAGGTGAACTTGTTCACATTCAGTAAAAAAAAAAAAAAAAAAAGACACAATGGGTGGAAATATATTTGTTGTTGAAACAAGGAAAAGTGAACATGTTGACAATAGATACTGTTGAAATTGCTAGACATAACTAAGTTTTATACTAATAGTTTCTTCCCTCACAGTTCTTGCTTGTGGAAATCTTTCAGCTTCTTACTTTCATGTCAACTATGACCTTCAAAAATTTAAATGCAATGTTGATCAGCATCTTCTGTTTCCTTGAATCCAGTTCTTTTATTATCCTCTCTCTTCAATAACATTTTCTCAGTTCTCTTCACTCTCAGTAATCCATTGCATCTTAGTGACTTTATCACCTTGCTTAGGGTGAAATGATTAAAAAAAAAAAGTAAATTAAAAAGGTGCTATATCACTAAATCCTCTAATTCTACCATAACACTAAATGGTCTCATTAGAAACTACAATATTTATTAACTTGACAACAGACAAGAGCAATATCACAAATGATAAGTTTATGCAAGTTATGAATTAGAAAAATAAAATTCTATCTGGGAAATGTATATATCATGAACATTCTTTAAAGCCCATTATTTTAATTCTCTAGCTATCTACATACAAATATATACCCAACATCTTTGAAATGCTAACAACTATAGCATCAAGAAACGATAAAATATATAAAACCATGCTTTGTTTACCAGATAAGCCTGCAATGTATTCACCTCTATGGGTTTTGTACTGTGAAGTTCAGCATTTCGGTAAGTTAAATAAATGTAAAAATTAATAGTTAAATAGTTAAGTTAAATAAATGTAATATTTAAACTGATCCTAGAAAACTATGCATCAAAAGGAATTCCAAATTCATGGAACAAGCCTGAAGTTCAAACAGGTAATATTTTGCAAGATGCAACCATGTTCTATGCTAACAGTTTCTTCTCTTGCATTTCACACTTGCAGAACTCTTCTGGCCTTTTGCTTTCCAATCAACTTTGAACTTCAAAAATTTAAATGCAATATCAATCATTATCTTCTGTCTTCTTCATTCCTGTCCTTGTGTTTTTCTCTCTCCTTTATAAGGTTTTCTTTTTCTCATTCTTTCATACTCAGTAACCCCTTGCATCTTAGTGGCTTTACTGTCATGTTTGGGCTGAAATGATTAAAAAAAAATTATATTGGAGGTGCAGATAGTATAATGGCTATCAATACAGAAAGAGAATTATATGTACAGAGTTCATTTCATGCTTGATTCAGTTCCCTTCATGCTATTGATCCATCTATGGATTAATTAACAGAACAAACTGGGATTTCTTGCCTTAACCCTTTGAACACTAACCCCCTGATGAGTACAGGATATAGTTTCACACAGTGGCCAGTATACTGACACATATGTTCAAAAGGTAGCAACCAGTCAAGGAGAGGGAATGAACTGAAATATCAGTCTAAAGAGGATGGGTTCCATCAAGTTATCTTGCTCAAGATACACCCACTGCATTACATTTGATGCCTTTACAACCCCAATGGATTATGTGATGTGATGATATGTAATAGTAGAAAATCAAAGGCACTTTACCCTTTCAGATAGAATTTCATGGGATATTTACTGAACTGAATATAAAAAAAATCCCTGCAAATTTGTCAATTTCTATAAAATTTAAAGTCAACAGAAAAGAACATTAAATTTGTATTGGGTTATCAGATAAATTCACTTGTTTTTTCCAATGTTATTTGAATTAACACACAAAATATTTTTACTATATTGTGTTATAGTTATTTGTAGCTCTATATTTCCTCCAACTTTTATTGCTTTTGAAATTTGATTGAATTTTATCTCTTTTCAGACCGATAACAAAATATCAAATAGACAAAAATGAGCATTTCCAACAATGCTCACCC